TATCAATTCCAACATGTCAGCCCCTGCCATCACAGTTTTTAAGGCTAAAGTCACCTGAACGAAATTTGCTGAATCATCGTTCACACTTACGAACGTTAAAAACATTTCCATAAACTTCTGTGGCTACAGAGGCGTTGTTTCCCTTATTGTCTTCAACAGCATTACATGCTAAATGTGTGTCTCGTCGTGTGCCATCACTATAAGATTAGAGTATACTAAACTTTACACATTATATAGGCTACAGTAACGTGACGCTTAGGTGGTTCGTTTAACTATTATACGTAATGTACGTTTTTTTTGGGAGTGGTTAATGAAAGTGCTCCAAAACGCGACATTAATTTCCTGACGACCTAACACTTCAGCTACAATATTGTGTGACTAAATGAGTTTTTTCCATCCAGTAGCTAATACACAAGTCACATAACGGAATGATGTATTCGATTTATTTCTAATGAGTTATAAAAACATACAAGGATGTACCTGCAGCGAACTGTTCATTACTTATTAATATACAGATAATTTTGACAACATACACTCTGGTGTTATAGATGTTGAGAAATTAAGCAATAAAATATTATATGTTTAGGGTCTTTATTAAGATTAACATACTGTATACGTATATTTCCTGAAAATAAGTTTTAGTTGTTAAGGGATCAATAAAAATAACATGTAATTGTCTTGGTAAAAAGAGTTTTGCACAATACATAACTAGCCAACTGTTGCAATTTCTAATTATACTGAAAGTTTCCATGCTATGGAAAATATATTCGCGTAATATTGTTTTTGTTGTTGAAAGGTTACACAATGATTTATCTGTGTTGTGTCTACCACGGGTATCAAAACGCGGGTTTTAGCATCATTAAGTCGTCAGACTTACCACTGACTACTGGTAGATTGTTATATTTCATGATACACTTCACAAGTGGAATGGCTTAGACATATCCAAAACGTTTTCAAGTTTTAGATCAAATTCAGCTTTGTTCTGCTGGTGAAATCTACGAACAATGGGGTCAATTGCTCCACATGATGGTTTTTCATTGTTCTTCACTGAAGTTTCAGCACTCAAGGTACCTGAAATTCCATCGTCTTGTATTTGCGGCGTGGTAAGCAGAGGGTAGCCTGAAGACCGTGAAGAATTTCACCAACAAACAAAAAAATAGAAAAAGCATATATCCATATATATAGCTACAAAATTCCAATTTTTCTAACAACGGATATTTGGTGGACTTCATTGTTTTAGTTTTACTCTTATAACAGGGATTTTGGGATCTATTCCTATGCGGTATTTTACCAATATCCAGAGTGTCGATAAGAAATGTTTATTGTTGTTGTTTTCCAGAATTCCTCGAATCAAATCGCTCATTGAAAGTTTCTGTGGAAACTCTAATACTTCTTTACCTTATTTCAAATGCTGTGATCGTACTTGAAGCTACTTGAGAGCTATTTCTGATATGAGATACAGGTATAACTATGTTTAAAATATGCAGTTTGTACTGTACGTAGAAACAAATATTCGGGTAGTGAAACATTTCTACCTCTAAATGTCATGTTTTCAATCCGATTTAGCTAAATCTAGATTTTTATATCAATTGAAATGTCTTCCTTTAAATTCTGTTGGTGGATATTTTCATGTATGTTGCACGATAATATTGAAAAAAACATGGTCGTTCTCAAAAAAGATTCGGAGAAGGTATTTCTATATTGTGTAAGGAATTTAGTTCAAGTTAGATCAGAAGATATTCCTATCCTGCTCAGTTCAGTAAAAAAAAATATTTCTTTGTACCAGCAAAATTGTCACAATATCCCTGGGCATTTCTTTTTAAACGATGCTAAAAAGTAGTTTTGAAAGCCGTGAGATAGATCGTAGCTCAACATCGATTGCATTCATATTTGTATTTTGTGATTTAGTGTATATATATATATCCCAGCAAAATGCAAGAGATGAGGTTGGACCATTTGTAATGTGATATTTTTTATGCGAGTCTTCTATGTTATTAGAAACACACACAAAAAAAAAAGATTTCGCCCGTTTAATATAATATGGTGGAAAAAATACAGAAAGAATTCTTCTAATGTTTACCTTCTGATAAATTTATAATAAATGCCTGTGAGCTTCATTATCCAAATCAAACAATGACCAGTCTGATCACCTTTTGTACACAGTATTCGTTGATAAAGTTTGTTTGTTTGTAATTAAGCACAAAGCTACACAATGGGCTATCTGTGCTCTGCCCACCACGGGTATCGAAACCCGGATTCTAGCATTGTATGTCAGCAGACATACCGCTGTGCCACTGGGGGGCTCGTTGATAAAGATTAGTCCAAGGACTGGTAGTGGATAATGCTCACTAGCTGCCTTTCATCTAGTTTATCACTTCAAAATTAGGGACGGCTGGTGTTGATAGCCGTTGTATAGCTTGAAAAGATATCTTCTTTCGAAATTTCCAAACCAACAGTGTGTTAACGTTTGACCTAATAGCATACTATGTTTTCAACATAAATTGTATATCACTTCAAAATTAGGGACGGCTGGTGTTGATAGCCGTTGTATAGCTTGAAAAGATATCTTCTTTCGAAATTTCCAAACCAACAGTGTGTTAACGTTTGACCTAATAGCATACTATGTTTTCAACATAAATTGCATTACGAGAAATAAAAACAAATAAAACTTGATAATGAAAAAGTAACTCTGTTATAATTACATCAATATTATTAATTAATTATGCAAATATCGCCTTGCCTATTAGTAATATATAGAGTATAGCATTATAAATAATGTAGGTTTCCTTACTTTCAACGATAGTAGGCTACACTGTCACCTTCAGTTTTACGATATCATATTGAACGATGTTTAGATGCATGGAATAGCATTGAAAAAACTATTTTGTCCTTACCTCTTCAAATGATATGAGAACTGTTTTAAATGAAACCTTAATTTTTATTTCATTTTCATTTTACATTTTCATTTTACCCGCATAGAAAGATGAATATGTGTATTTTCCGGCTAGAGTATAATTACTTTTGTTTATATATATTTGCTAGGATGTTAGTTCTATAGAACACGCATTAATTAACATTAATATTTTAAATGATAAAGAGCAACGTTTTCAAACGACGTATCACACAGTTAATATCTACATACATACACGATGTGGAAAGCATTATCTCTTTCAGCAGGTGACGGACGTTCCGGAATTTCAGGAAATCTTAGTAAATTATTCATAA